ATGTTTGTTTATTCTTTTACCTACAAGGGATTATAGGTAAATAAACACCATGTAATCATAAATTTATATTTCTATAATCAAATACTACATAGAATTTATGTAGTAAACCCCACGTAGTGGGACAAAGGCTTGATTTTGTTGTTGTTGTTATATAACTAAATACTACATAGAGAAGAACATAATGGGAAAACAAACTGCCATCCAATTTGAGATTTAAATTTCTATAATTACATTTGCCTAGAGAACAACATACAATCTCAAAAGATAAAAATAGTGTTTTACTATCGATTTAAAAATATAAATATACTTCTCTATTCTAATAATCAAATATAATATAGAGAATAACATACTATCTCGAAAGATAGAAATGATATTCTACTTTAGATTTGAAAATGCAATTATATATTTGAGAAAATTTGACTATGATCCCAAATGACTTTTCCCCTATCATAGAAAGATAAAATAGGATTTATATTATGCATAGGTTTCTAAGTTCCCCAAAAAGGGAACAATGAGATTCTGAAAAAGGTAGGGAGCTTAGCACCAAAATAATCTCTTAAGAAAACTCTCAATTAAAGGGGTGAATAAATATTCTCAAATTTTGATAATTTAGATAATGATTTTCAATCATGTATTCATTAATAGGTAGTGTATCAAAGATGATTAAATCATTCTAGAGATCACTAGCTTAATTGTAGGTAATAATGAGATTTTTGAGAAACATAGAAGTGTTCGAACCTATTATATAATTGGGCTTTATATTTTTGTGCATGATAATAAATTTAGATTTAAGTTGATCAAATTATTAAAATAACAAGATTATATTCTTAGAAGAGGATGAATTATGATTTTAAGTCTTCCACAAAACTTAAATATAAGGTGAATTACTATAGAGTAGCGATTCAATTTTAATCTAAGAAGTGAAGGAATACATGAGGTAAGGCTTATACCTTTAATCCTTAAAAGAATTCAAAAGGAAGAAAAAAATTATTAGACTTACATATTCATAGATTTGAATGCCAACTAAACCACATAAACACTTTAAAATAATGAATCTTAGTCTATATGCATGCAGAATAGGTAGGCTCTTATTTACTTAGGAAAAATGGTTTATAGTTGAGAGATTTAAATCAAGGTTTTATTTAATATGCTATGAGTTTGAATGTACCCAACTAATGTAATTTAAAAACTTTTACCTAATATCTAAATTTTTATATTAGAACTAATGCAATCTACATGATCAATTTTTTTAAGAAAATGTAATAACATAATGACCCTATACCAATAAGAATAGGAAGCTCAGTCCCATCGAGGCCACTAACGGGGAGATTGGGTTTGCATTAAATGTGTGAATTATGTTTATGCAATGGGTTAAAGTTTGCTTACATTTTATTTGATATGCAATACCCACTAAATTCACAAGTGAACATGTTAAATCAAGTAATAAAGTGATTGAGAGAGTGTCAATTACAAGAGGAACTGCTCTGGTAGCATGAAAATTAATTAGTACTACTTACTATAGCTATACTATTTATCCTACTGAATGAACACATGGTTTGAGATTTTATCTTTGCTGGGCAATGCGAAAGAAAAGATATGATACTGGATAATTAAATATTTTGGACTAACAAATGTGAATTACCTCATATCTCCTTAAGCAAACTCTTCTATGTTTGATGTGGATCAGAGTATATACATTCTAAAATCTCCACAAGCTCGTAGCGATGTAAATAGAGGTTTATGGCCTTCCTATAATTATTATATATCCTTATAACATAGAACTCTAAACATCCTATGTCTAGGCATGCAAGAGTTTCATTCCAACACTCCTAATTATTTCATTATTCCTCCATCAGGATAATATATCACTAGTTTGTATGCATTAAATTAAGAATGGGAGTTATTGAAAACATTTGTTATTCATTCAAAGAATAAGAGCCTACATTAGTACTTACAAAGGATTTACATTATTAGCCCACAACTAAGAAATTAGCCGGCCATAAAAAGAAAAGAAAATAAACTAGATTTCTTTGCTTTAATATAAGATAAAGTACAAGAGTAAAAGTAGAATCAAAAGTCGCCTAGATAGTACAATGCACTCTCCACACTCCTTTCACCTCCAAATGCCTGATTTCTTGTTATAGGCGGGATGACTATCTTCTAAATGAAATATCTTTTTCATTTTTGGCCTCCCTTAGAGTTGACTCTAAGGGGGCACTACACTTAAAACACTTAATACTCACTAAAGATGACAAACCCATATAGAACTCTAATAAACTATTACACTCACTCAAACAAACTGAAGAATTACTTATACTTGTACTAAAATAGACACAAGTTCTGTGATGCTTAACATGGTGCATCTTTTGATTGAGTTTGCATGGCTCCTAATTTATGCAACTGCTCCACCGTGGTGCTAAAAAAGTTGAGCACTATGGTGCTTGAATATGCAATCTAGCATTGTGGTGTTGTAATGTTTAGCTCTTTGATGCTCAAATTCCTAAGAGTTAAGTTCTACGATGTTGATTTCTAGCACTAGAATATTATGAAGTGCTGCGATGCTGACCTTAGTTGTGCCGGGGCACTAAATTAATTGTTGATTTTCCTAAGATTTCAATACTCTGATTTTTTTGATTTGGCACTAGGGAATTATGGATGCTGTAGTGCTGGTAGTTTGAGTGTTGTGGTGTTGGTTCAAATCTTATGAAATTTTCTCCTTTTTATGAGATATTTCTACACAACATCAACTAAAAATAACATATTTATTAATTTTTAAAATAATAAAATACTATATAATTTATACTTAATAACTACCCCTCACTTGGTGCTGACATGTGTGAGTTTAGTGTATCAGTAGAAAAGTATATATGTATGCCTTGCTCATGGAAAAGTAAATATGGGTACTTTAGGTGATAAATCCATAGATCCTAAGAGCTTAACGTATATATAGGCAAAATTATCTGCATGCTAAGAAAGGTAAGAAGTTCTAGTTTATAAATAATTAATAATCACATCAACAATCAATCATCACAAGGTATATAAAAGAATAGTCCTTTTGGAAAAATGCCACTTATATATAAAGACTGGGGTCTATAATAAAGAAATGGAAGCATACATACTAATTAGCTTGAAAATCTACACCTATAATTTCTTAGGTCATATACAGAATGAGGTTATTTATTGTCTTCGGGCCTTTAGGCTCTCTAGGGTAGGATCCTCCTACTAAACAACTTTCAAAAGAAATCATCTTCAGACTAAAGATTCATTATTTTGGATTCCTTTTACTTTGGATAGACATCCTCATTTTGTGCTTTCATAACTCATTTATATTTTCATATGCACTTTCATTATTGTCCATTATGGTTTATGATGGGGATTTTAGTTTTCCTTGATTAAGCATTTTAATATGAACCACATATAATTTATTTAATATTTATCATGATTTAATTATGATTTATTAAAATTGTTGCAAATTCAATTTAATGGATTATGTTTTGAGGATTAGCAAACACTCTTGCTTCTTTTCGACTGCCTTTTACTACTGACATTTTCAACATTCAAAGATCGGACGGAAATTGGAACCAGCTCAAGACTGGGTAGATTAGGGTTGAGTCAGTATGTAATTTTCTTTTTTTTTTTCCTTTCTTAAGTCAATTGCAAATGTTTGAACTGGCTGATGTTAAGTAACCCTACACACACACACTTGAGAGATTTAGAATTTATGTTTTAACTAACATCGTCCTGGATGATATTTATACAAATCTGGACAATTGAGTTCAAAACAGAAACTCTAAACAAGGTTTCTTAATTAAGGCAGCTGTCATTAACAGATCGGCCCGGATGATACTTATATCATCTAGGACGATAGGCTCAAAACATAAAGAAATAGCCGCCATAATCAATTTAGGTATTATGTATTTTTGAAAATCGGCCAGGACGATCTTGGATAGGCCTAAACGATATTGCATAATTATGCCTAAATTGATTCGGCAATCAAGGAAATAATTAAGGATGATTGATACGATCACATCATCCTGGATGATCGCAAGACCGGCCAGGACAATTTATTCAAAAACCCTTAATTGCTCCTGGAAGAAAACAATCGGCCAGACCAAATTTCGGGCGGTGTTCTGGCCGATCTGAATCGGACAGCTTGAATTCCGGGCGATGCTCTGGACGATTTTCCTCTGATTTGAACTGATCTTCCAGGACGATCGTGAGATCGGCCTGGATGATCAAGCCAATTTTTAATCGTCCAGTTCATTTTCAGAGCGATGTTCTGCCAATCGTCTGTGATTTGAATTGATCATACAGGACGATAGGATTATCATCCTGGATGATAAAGTCGGCAACTTGCATTTAATGAGCTCCTTTGAAGCTCTTCTATTTAAAAGCTATTGTTCAACATTTTTTAACATCCTTGGCTGCTGTCTTGAACTTAGAAAACTTAAAAGAGAGAGAGAGAGAGAGAGAGAGAGGATCTTGTGAGGGGGAGCTTTTGAGGGAGTTCACAAGGGTTGCTCCAAGCATTGTTCCACTTCTTCTTCCACTAGAGTCTCTTGTTCTTGAAAGGGTTAGTAGAGGTAAGCTTCAGCGATTGATCGAGGTTCTCTGCCTGCTTTAGGAGGAAGCAAAAGGAGTGGGGTTCTCTACCTTGCCGGGGTGCCAAAAAGGAGGTTTTTATAAGGGCTTCTCCTCCTAGCTGTGGGGGCTAAAGGAGAGTCACGTTGGTAGTGCAATACTCAGAGAGCTCCTCCGGGGAGTGGACGTAGGTCAAGTTAACCGAACCACTATAAACCCTTGTGTTCTTTTTACTTCATCCGCACTTTAATTTTCTGCACTTGCTTTTCTATGGTGACTTTGATTTGTGATATTTGTTCTTTTGTTTAAAGAATTTTTTAAAATACCAATTCCCCCCCCCCCCCTCTTGATTAGCCTCGGGACTAGTTCATAGGGCCTAAACTCCCTAACGAACTTTCAAAAATCTCTATTTTTAAAAGATAGTGGTTGCGCATATGCAAACCCCCCTAACACAAATTATGATGTTCACTCTACCAATTAGGCCAATGGTAGACTAACTCCTCTTCAAAGTGTAATAATGATCGCTAATCTAAACCACATACATTATTAATTATTGATTCTATATAGGTTATTAAACTTGTGCAATTGTTTCAAGGCTAGCCAAGAGGGGGGGTGAATTGATAATTTAAATTTTTTTGGATATTTTAATAGAAAATTTGACTTAACAAATTTCCAAATTTGATTATCTTTTTGAAATAAGCTTTTCAATCACAATAATAAAATTGCATAAAATAAAATGTAGAATATAATTGACATAAAGATTTATAGTGGTTCAGTCAAACATGACCTATATCTACTCCATGAAGACTCCCTCTTTAGGTATTGCACTATTACCAAAGTGACTCTCATTTTCCCCCACAGCAAGGCGGAGAATCCTTTACAATTCCTCTCTTCCATGAGTCCCCAGTGAAGAAAAGAACCATCATCTTTTCACACTCTCCAAGTGTCGGCAGAGAATCATCATCCTTTCACACCCTATAAGTGTCGTCAAAGAACCGTCATCCTTTCACACCTTCCAAGAGTTGGCAGAGAACCATTATCTGTTCACACCCTCCAAGTGTCGGTAGAGAACCGTCGTCTGTTCAAACTCTCCAAGTGTCGGCATATAACCAGATCTTCTTCAAAGATCTTCTCTTGAGCAATTAGAAAGAAGAAAGGAAGAGTAATATCCAAAAACCAAAAGAGATTCTTATCTTTAAGTAACCTTGTGATCCCTTCACACTCCACTTGCAAGAACTCTCTCTCAAACACTCTCCCACAATCACTCTTTCACTTACCCTTGAAAAATCATGAAGAGCAAAACTTTTCATGTTAGTTTTTAATGACCTTTTATATGAAAGATAGAAAAAATTTTCTAGAAAATTAAAATTTTCCATTTTGAGTGTATACAATCATATAATATGATCGTATTTTCATACATATGAATAGTTCAAAAACTGTTACATATGAACCTTTATGAATCTATACAAAATATTTTTGTACATGATAATTATCCAGTACGAACCAAGTTCATACTGTACGAATAGTTAGAAAATTTTTCAACTTCATCTGGATGTAAAAGTACCCCACATTTTCATACTCTGTACATCATCTGTAAGAACATGATATCGTACAGTACGAACAGTATATCATATAGTATGATCTGTTTAAAAAAATTAGCATTCATCTAAATGAAAAGGGACCCTTCAAACTCATACTCTAGATGTCATCTATACGAACAGGATCTTGTCTAGTATGATTAGTTCATAAAACTTTGGAATTCATTGGGATGAAAAGAGAGCCATCCATTTTATACTCTGGACATCATCTGTAAGAATAAGATATCATATAGTATGATACATTCAGAAAAATTTTGAATTTATCGGGACAAAAAGGAACCCTTCTAATTCATACTCTGGACGTCGTCGGTACGAAGGAAGCCTCGTACAGTATGATAATTACTTAGAAAATTTTTCTTCCTGCAGTTTGTTTGACTGCTAATAGGGAAAATAATTAAATAAATCATCCCGTATGAAATGACTTCATACAATACAATTAGTTTAAAAAGTTACATATTTTAAACACTCCTCCAGTGTATGTGTTCCCAGTTACTCAATTACAATCACACTCTCTCAGACTCAACAAAATTAAAATACAAACTCCATTTATAATGATCCCTAATCTAATCTGACTTGAAGTCTTCAACAATCTGGAGTATAATTTCCCTTAACTGTTGGTACACACAAATAACAAAAACAGTATATCCAAAATATGTTAGGAGAAACAGTGAATAAAATAATAATATTTGGAATCATCAAAAACATATATGTTGCAAGAATATCAGTAATAAGAAAACAAGGTTGCAATAATCTCAACAATTTCCACCTTTTTTATGATGACAAAACAATTATTGTTTGAGTTAAAATATATATCCTAAATTTCTCCATAGCCCCCCTAAAAGAATGAATATGTGAATATAAAGAGTTTCTATGAAGAGCACACCAAAAAAAACTTTTTTTAACATATTAACTTAAACAACAAAATCCAAAAACCCAAACACAAATAATGCAAACACGAAACACAAAACATAAAAATCAAACACAAACAAACACAAACAACACACAACACAAATAATATTATTACTCCCCTTTTTGACAATAATAAAAAGAGAAGTAGAACTTGAAGAGAAAGGAGTCAAACAAAAAATCAAAAGAAATGACTGTGAAAATTTCTTTAAACCAATTGTAATTACAATATTAATTCCATACTAAAATAGAAAAAATCAAAATTTAAAATTAAAGAACAACTAAGGAAAGAAAAGTTAATCAAAAATAAATTCACTCTAGACAAACTTAAACAAGGATGATTATTGCAAAAACGACGAAATGAAGATTTTTGAATTTCAAATTAAATATTGAGTATAATTATTAATTAAATAGATTTGAAGCAGAGATAAAATGATAAAGGAAAGAACTTAATAAAACTTTCCATTTGGTGACTTTACACATCTTTTCTTTGAATGACAAACTTTGCGTATCTATTTTTTTGTGGCACATCTTGTGCACCTTTTCAATTTGTGAACCATTACATTTTTCATTTTATTTTTGCATACATTGTGCATTTTATTTTGATTTGCTTTTTAAGTCTTTCCAAAAACAGTTAGCTAAAATCAAATGTCACTAATAACCAAAAATAAACATATTGAAAAAGAAAATAAAAAATAGTAAGATATCAAAATTATAATAATTATGTTCTAATTATATTTGCCTTAAAAACATGAAATTGATTTCTTTATCCAAATTCAGTTAAAATTTAATTTAAATTTTTTAAAAGATAGGATTTTCGTATTGAAATTAATTTGAAAAGCAAAATAATTTAAATCTAATTTTAATGATCAATTTCAAAATATTTCTTGTATAGGAATACTATCATTTCAAAAACTAAGAATAAAAGCAACATCATAAAACATGATATTTTTATTAATATCAATTAAAAAATCAGATGCATCAAAGTCTATTGATACCAATAAACATAACATTTGAATATCATAACATCAACATAAGCCTAAACCAAAATAAGTACTACTGAAAGCAATAAACAAAGACATCATCACATCATAAGCAAAGGTCTGATACAAACAACATCAGGAAGTACAATTAAAAGTCAGAGGGGCCCTGGTCTGGAGGAGGAGGCTGGTTGAAGATTGAGGAATATCTATTCATCATATCTATATTCATGTTCACCAAGTCAAACTAACCTCAGATCCACTCAATATCTTCTTGATATCTTGCATCATGTTGGTTTAGATGAGTCTGAATTTGATTAAAATGTTGATCAAAATGAGTCTGTAACTGATCAAATTGCTGGACCATCTCCTGAAAGTAATTCTGATTAGGTCCTTGAGCAGGTACAAGTGCTCCCCCTTCTCCCTTAGTATCCTCACTAGAACTCTCATTTCTCCCAAAAAGAGATCGAAAAGAGGCATCAATGAAGAAGATTAGCATTTCAGTGGGAGGATCTAGATGAATTATGTTGTACTTGTTTTCCAAAATGTAGGTCATTAAGTTCCTAGAGCAATATTTTTCTTTCTCTTATGATGAGGAAGCCCAATTTTAGAATGCTTATAAATTTAATCTAAGATGAGTTGGGCCTCATCAATAGGTTATCCAGTTAAGATCAAATAGGTATCATTGGATAGAAGAGGAGTCATATTTATACAATTACCAGCCTTATGACTGATAGAAGTTCATAAGATATGCTGGATGACCCTGGCAATTTGATTCAAAGTGTATACTCTAGTTAAGAGATAGACTTGAGTTACACATCTAAGAGTTTTATTTATCTCAGACCATTCATAATTTGATTTAGAGGTTAAAGTGTGCACTCTAGTCCCATGAGTCCTTAAATGAAGAAAAGTTACTAGATCTTCCTTAGTAATTTCTACATGTGATTTTTTGATAAATGATGTTATCCTACTCTCATCCTCATTGAACCTCATATTTTTTAGGAAATAGTGAAAAGTCTCTCTGTGGTAAGCGTAGATCAGAGTTAAAATGAAAGAGAATTAGGTTGAGACAAAGAGAGGTACAACAAAAAAGTAGATTTCATCTTGAATCAGTAGTTTTGAAGGAGTGATTTTAGAGGCTATATACCTATAGAAAGAATCCTCATTGTCTCTTGACAATAAGTTATCATCACCACCCCTTAGTTACTCTAGAGCGCTTGCTAGAATTTGCCATTCCTAGGTTGGAGTCTCTAGAAGAATTCAAGAAGGGTTTGGAAGTGAATAGAAATGAATTCAATAGCCTCCTATTTAAAGAAAAATAACCCAATGTATAATATGAAAATGGCTTTCATACGTACAATCTTGAGATCGTACAAGACGAAAAAATTTTTGTATGGATGAAAGAAAACGTCTAAAATAAAATGACCTTTCATAAACACACAATTTATGAGGAGTCCTTTCATACATACTTTTTAACCATACAATCGTACAGATGAACAGGTGTTTATCCAGGATAATCATTTATTTAAGATCATTTAAATGACGTTTAGGTTTGTCCCCCACAGAAAATGACATATGGATCATATAGATAAAATATAATTTTATACGTATGATCAGTTATAATAATTGACTCTAACCAGATAACCATCTACATGTGAACAGACAAATATATACAGATCGTACGAGATGATGATGTGATCATACAATATGATCTATGTGAAAAAATCCAAAATTTAGGCATTCAAGTTCAAAACAACAAAAAAACATGCTATAAAATTCATACATTATGAAAATAATTTTGTACAATACAAATAAAATACTTTAAAAAATAGACATGATTTAAATTTAGAACTTTCAAAATATAAACATCTTCTTATATCACCTCATTCAAAAAGGCACTTTTAACATCTATTTCAAATAATTTAAAGCCTCTAAAATATGCAAAGGCTAACAAAACCCTAATTGCTTCAAGTCATGCTATAGGGGCAAAAGTCTTCTCAAAATCAATCCATTCAATTTGATTATACCCTTTGGCTATCAATCTAGCCTTATTTCTAACAATTCTTGAGTCATTCATTTTGTTTTTAAATA